AGGCCCGAGTTATCTCGTCAGTTGGCAAACCTACCAAGCCATGGCTCACCGTGATAGATTCAAGCGCATCAGATTGGTTATAGTGAAGAGAGGAGCGCACTGAGGGTCGACCTCATTCTCTCTCTCACCGTCTAGCGACCGCCTAGCTGATCGGTCACCTGAGGCGGAGCCTGAAACCCAGTAGGAGCGCGAACGCAGTCACCAACAGGGAACCAGAACCGAGAGAAAGTGCCAGCGCCTACCAGACCTTGGGGAACACGTTTTACTGAGATCTGGCGTTGCAGACGTTGAATCGCAAGTAGATATGCCACTAATGACTCTCACACCTTATTGAAAAGTGAAGGTATCAAATACGCCCAATAGATCCATATTTTGGCCCCATGCAGCGATAAACTGAGGCTATCCGTTTTTCATGGTAATTAGTTTAAATGTTTGACATGCCTTAGGGCTAAAGTGAATTGTATTTTGAGTATGGTATGTAACTACAACATAGTCAAAATAGAACCTCAACATTCACAGACTGAATCCCATGGAAGACAAGGTTAACACCTAGTATGACAGTCATTCAACTGCTTGATGTCAGACCAAGCTTTCAAATTTGGCACGTCACTGTGCTTAAGGGGTTTAGTCGCCGAGATGCACACTACAGGGGGGCTGAGATGGCGTTGTTTGCGTTACTGTCGCCAACTGACCGCACTGTCCTGTTCTATTCAGCCAGCACTTGGACCTGCAGGATTAGCTAGACCTCCATGGAAAACCGCGGTATTGTAACGGTGGCCAAAACTGTGATATTGCCGTCTACGTCGCACTCCCCAGTTAAGCAGGGTACGGGTGACCGTTACCAGGCTGTTGGGGCGGTGGGCCACGCAGAACGGCTCAAAATGGATTGGTAGACTACGCGCGCAAAAGAAAGGAGCAGCATATAGCGAGATCCAGGACAACGAGACAAGAGACAACTATTCGAAACGTCAGATAAAAAAATAAACCTCTTCCGGCGAACGCTCTTTCTCCCTCTGGCTTCAGGTCGTGTAAGGTTTTACGCTGCGCGGAAAATACTGACAGAGAATCCATAGAATAATACCAGGTTGAGCGCGATAGGAATACTGAGCATAACATAGGATAGATACCAGCTCCTACGAGTTAGGTTGTCCTAAGTAAGGAGCATGACATTTAGTGAATGGTGGAAAAGCCTGGCTAGACCATTGAATGGGAGGTGGTAGTCCGTCGTCCGTATGCGAGATCATCCGAAACGTCAGGCAAATAAAATTCTTGTCCTAGCGATCGCATCTTTTACTTCTGAACGAAGCAATCCACTGACGGATATCGAATTTCATATTTGTCCAGAGGCAGCGGTCACATATTGCCATGAGGTGAAGTTTAATCGTATTTTCTTTGTTTGGTAATGCATGAAAAGAAAAACCGTACGACAGGTAGAACAAAATGTGGGGCTTTTGTTACTTTTCTCTGAAATTAGTATCGGAGTTAGGGTTTGTCATTATATTCAAGCGTCTATGGGTGCAGACCAATAGTTGGTGTAAACATTTGGGCCGAAATCTACCAGACTCTGGGGGATAACGGCGTATGTCACTTTAGAAGTGCACGTTAAGAACCGTGGGAGTTAAGCTATTGATTATCGAGTTGTTCTACGCCAGTCGGAAAGCCTGACGGACAGGTCACGTAGCGCCCATGGTATGCCAGGTAGAAAAGTGAGCGCTTTTTTGTTGCAAAATGATTGTTCACAATTGTGCCACACCATGGCTTGTTTGAGCCTCTATTCTCCCACATCGTGAGAGTCTACCGATAGGACAGTTCTTAAAACTATGTACGCAGTAGGCAAATAAATATGACAGTTTGCTGAGCAGTCGT